AGTTACAGTAAAGGAGTTGCTAACTGTTTTTCCCCATCTTACTCGTATCCTCTGGTTAAGGTATAAATAAAGTAGAAATCTTGAAAATAAAGGACACAGACATCTAGAACGTAGCAGTTGGAAGAGTTTTACATAGTTTACCTTATCAAAAGCTTTGCTAGCGTCAAGTAAACTAACATACACATTAGAGTTGTGACTATTGTAATAATTAATGGTTTCATTAAGTACAAAAGAGCAATGACTTGTAGAGTGTTTCTCTTTAAAACCAAATTGTTGATCAGAACATTGAAATACACGATTAAACTTATCTAATATAACTTTGTCAAATATTTTACCGAAAATACTACTCAAGGCAATTCCGCGATAGTTGCTGGAATTGTTGAGAGAGCGTTTCCTGTTTTTTGGAATTGAGACAATTGTTGAGAGGATAAGATTGCTTGGTGAAAAGCCATGAACGACAAGAGTTGTCAGTAGCAATGATACATGAATAAAGAAAGAATATGGAGCATAGATAATATGATCAGAATATTGACCACTACAGCCATCAGATTTCTTATGTTTTAGAGATTTTGCGGCTTTTGAGACTTCGGTTGGTGTAATATTATGATCATATTTACATTTACCACTATTACACACATGATTGATACCAAACTCAATGTCTTCCTTTAACTTAATCATATCATTTTCATTATACAATACACTGTTAAAAAGTTGCTTATATTTTACAGCTAAATAATGAGGCTATATTATCGGCTCCTATCTGGCCATCGACACTTTGTGGAAGCGAGTTACTGGATCCATTAATCCTCTTAATTTCGCCCCAAAAGTCTTGCATATTGCTATTGATAAGATTTTCAGCCATTTTGTTCGAACGGGTTTGATTCTCTTGTTTTCGAGCTAATCTAATGGAATAATGATACCTTGCCCGAGTCATTCTTCTGATGATGGCGAGCAGTCCTGATTGTGGACAATTATTCTCCTCACATTCTTGACCTGATCGTTCCACCGCCTTTGAATTACACCTTTTTGTGTGTGGAATACATTTCTCGCCGGCATCAATAGTGATTCGGACAAGACTATCAAAATAGACCTCAAGTTCTGCTTTATGTTCTGTACATTTAGAATTTTGACAGTATAAAGCATTGTATGGTATACTAACATTATCAAGTGATTGACCTATAACGTCTTGATACTCTTGAATGTTTTTAGGCGTTGCTTTATTCCATCGAATACTAGGACGAACAGGATTTTTTGTAGTCGTTTCATAATAGTCAGTTGGAATATTCAGGCTAACACCAATAACACTGTGATCGGATAGATTATCTACATCATGACTAGATTTATAGCTTATAATGTCACTAATCAAATTCTGAGATAGAAAAAAGTGATCTATAGTCGATTTTTCACCGTTAATTTTACTTTCAAAGGAGTATAACACATTGCTTGATATGTGGTTGATACCGCACTCCAAAGAGAGATTTGTGGTGAATTCGGTTAGTCGTATCGTTTGGATAGACGAAAGGCGTTTTAAGTCTGTATTAAAATCCCCTCCTATAATAACATGATCTGTTGGGTTTTGTTCTACAACTGTTTGAATCTCGTGTAACGTGTGATCGAATTCGATCAGATTAGCACTATCACAAGGCATATAAACGTTACACATCAAGATGTTTATATCTCTACATTTTACGGTTATAGCGCATATACGTTTCGACTGAAATGCTATTGGTAGTATGTAACACAGAAGGCTGCTACGCCAGAGAATTGAACAACCCCCGTATGGCCTGCCAAGAATCGGTTGATTGCTTTGCATGCTCGAGATTCCATGAGAACCTATGTTAGGGATTTGTTTTTCAAAGAGATCAAGCTGTTCGGTTAGAAGCCAATGTTCTTGGATAAACACAAAATCAAAGTCATCACATAGTTTTGAGATATAATTGATACGGCCAGTTCCTGAACCATGCGAGTTATATGTTGCGATATTAATAAGTTTGCATGACGTCATATGAAATTCCTGACTTCACAGTTGTCGCAACTTTATCTATACACGGCGTTGCGTCGACCAACCATGCCATGTGAAGTAGATGTCAATATGGTTATGTGTAAGAATATTCAGTTCAATATATTCACGGTGTATGATTTTATTCATACTTCAATTTTAGTGAGTTAATTGCTATTAATTTGGCCAGTACTGTAGTAGTTATTAGCACACTTTCTGAGGTGTATCGGTGAATATCAGGACAGTTTTGGTCGGGGGGCACAGCCGAGGCGGCTCCCGACCAAAACTGTTCTGATATTCACCGATACACCGAGGAAAGGTGCTAATAAGTTACTTACATCCCATTTCTATCGAGAAATTTGAAAAATGGTATTTATTATCAAGTCGTTTCAATCGAAAAGTGAAAAATACTTTCTGCTCTTTCATTATTTATCCCTTTCTGAGCCTCATGTCACATTTCATGGTAGAATGATTTCGCAGTGGAGAGACGACCTGAGTAGTATTTACACGTGCGTCTTGCTATGATACTCTGAGCGTAAAACAATCACGTGTTTGTTTAGACCACATCGTCAAAACAATTTGTCTATGGCGTAGAGGACTGCGATATTATTAAATGTAGTGTAAAGGAAATGCGAAACGTGGGTCATTCCTGGTGAAAGTATGCATCGGCGGATGGTTCTTCCGTTGAAATTTATTTGTAATAAAGTTTATGACTTTCTAGGCGTTTTTTCATCCTGCTTATTTTCAATGCCTGTGAAGTGTCCAGCAAGAGAACTGCGCCTTCTATCATCACAATTAATTAAAATAATTATTCAATATTCTAATTTATATATTTTGCATATTAATATAAATCCAACCAAATTATGAAATAGATGCCAATTGATATGTATAATAATTGATTTTTGTAATATGTTATGTTAATTTAATGTCATTGTATATGTTTTTTAACTGCCATGTAGTTCCCCCCATTTTGTTTTGTTACTATGATTTTGACTAGTTGTTTCATGTACATTGTTTAGAGCCGTCGTTATCAATTGCGATCTGGGTCGGACTAAATGTCCGCTACTTAATGCTTGATAGGTATCTAGAACGGTATGAAAGTATCCGTGTATCAGAAATGAACAGTACTCTTTCTGTATATTTCTGATACACGGTTACTTTTATGCATGTATTGCAATTAAACAGGACAGTTTTATCAAAGGCTGCCAGTGGCAACGAGTAGAAGTGGGATGTAAATGATAATATTACATCAAGACTTAACCCTGAATTTAAAAAAAACATCTAGCACTAAATTCTGACCACCTCTAGTATTAGCAATGTATCTAAAGTTAACCAGAGCTTACATCAAAACAGCTCACAATATAAATTTATTAGTAAACTGATTTCAGCAATTTGCCCAATCTACAGATAGTGGGAAGTGTTCACCAGTAACAATAATTAAGAGTGAGAAGTTTATCCCAGTGATACTAATTAGTTAGAACAGACTATAGTTCTACACCCACAGTCTGGTAGTAACCTCTTAATCCTTTATCAAAACAATCAAATGTGGGGATAGTGAGGTTAAACCATTCCTTCATTTACTAAAGTGACTAATTAGGTCTTGATTATGTATTACTACTATTGTCTATTATATATCAGTCATAGGTGACCGTTGTTAATTTACTTAGATAATCCACCTTGGTTGCCCAGTTAGATGTAAGTCTACTATCTTAATATTGGGTGAATGGCTGTGTTAAATACTACCTGGTCATATGATTATCATGCTTGATTTTTATTGGCTGAATTGAGGAATAATATGTTATGTTTGAATGAACTGTTCATCAATATTCAAAAGGTTCATTGATTTGGGATTGTATTGTCACTTATAATATAAAGAGAATCAGTTTGAGAACCTTTATTGTTGCTATTCTAGAGAAAGAGACAAGATCAGGTCCAGTTGTTGAGGATTTTTTGTTAATTTATTAACCTTTATTGTGTAGGTGAATTGAAGAAATAGTTTGTAGAACTAAATATTATACTTAGAATGGAGAGAAATGAATTATATAGTACTAGTGATAAAGTATTACATTTGAAATTCTTGTACATTGTTTACTTTGATTGAGGGTGTATAATTGACCTACTTTTGTATAATGTTATCTTTTAGGATTTATAGGTGCTATAAATAAAGAAATGATATTCAGGATACACACTTGAATTTTCTAGAAATTGCATTTTCATATTATAAGAATTTATTTCATTTTCCTTGTGTGTAATACTTGAATGAGTATTGTTTGTTAGTTATATTTGCCTAGTTTTTAATATTTCCTTATAAGGATAATTGCATCATGGGATCATCAGCATCTCGACAGCTGCAACATGAATTCGATACTCAATCAATTAAATATCATGTAAGTATGTTTAGGTGGAAAAGAAACAATGTTTCTTAATCTTAATGATACACAATTCAAACTTTTTTATTTCAAATCAATTTTATACACTTTCATATCTCGCACAATAGTACTTTATAGGTCTTATTGAAAACAGTGTAATTCAGACTATGGTCTGTTCCAGAAACAAACAATTGTAGTATTGTTGTGACATTACCAACTAGTTGTATTTGAATGATCAAAACATACAAATAACAACATTTAATAAATGCATAATATATACAATTAAGAACAGTTAATGAATGTACTATACATAATTCAGTGTAAATTTTCACGTTTAGTTGCATTATTTTATGGGAGGAATATTGAAGTGTGCTAGGTAAATACAGGGATGACAGCATCAAACACACAACATAATAAACAATCAAGAATTGAAGAACCATGTTCAGTGAAAGACAAACACATGTATGTACATGTAAAGCTAAAATGAGACATATCGGATACTAAGGTAGATAAGGTAGTTCTTGATCGCTTTAACCCTGACAATCCACCTTCGAGTGTGAATGATATTTAAAACCAATCTTTCTATTGCACGATATAAATTACAAATTTATTTGATAAATTTTACTTTTCAGCATGATGGCATGGCAAGAATATCACGAATGTGTAAAAATGGTGATCTCCTTGAATACCAATATGATGATGCAAAGACTTTGCTGGAATCCTTTAAGCGTGGAGCAAGAATTTCAAGTAAGCTGGATGAAATTATAAGTGAATTTAAATTATGACTGAATAAGTAATGCTGCACTAGTAATCTAGTCATCCCATTGACAGTAAATCATGTGACAGGTCGTATTATGACGTGACCTGTAACATGGCAGGCCTTAACTGCCATAATAAATAGATATGTTTAATATTTTGCAATTTTTTTTATCGAATTCTAAAAAATGATTACCAGTACATACATGTATGTTCTACATTAGTGTTTTAAATTATATATTTTTTTTATGCATCGTTTTTTGAAAGAGTGAACAAGAATAATTTTAATGACACATATATTTGTTTAAATTTGATTTTCATTGCAAAATATAAGAATATAAGATACTGCATTATCTTGAATTTGACTTTAAATTAAATGTTTTCTAAAATTGATTATGCCAGGTTCCCACTGTAGTGAGATGCGTTACGATAGGATTGTCCCTATTTAGTCCACGATCTGCTACGTGCAGATACGTTTAGATATGTATCGATACGATCAACACGGTTGCTACGACTGACCTCATTATATGATGAGACCTGATAGGATCACCACGATTACTCCACGATTAAAACCAAGATTTCAATCGTAGCGCGAATCGTGATAGTGGGAACCTAACATTAGAAATAATTTTGAGTGAATTTCATTATTAAAGATTATTTGATATTGACTTGAGTGAAGTACATTTTTAGTAAATGAAATGAAATGGTGGTTTAATGTCTTAATTTTCTGGAAACTGGCTAATGAAAATGGGCATCTTCCTATAGTGGGCTTTGAGAGAAATTTTGCACGACAGCTGTCCTATGGCTTATTTTGATATTCCCTAATGTTCTACCAATGGTATACACATTACATTATTTTTTTGTCCCATCCAAATGACTAGAAGCTTTTCTTTGCCAATGCCAGACTTTCCTTCTTTCATCCCAGACATGGGTCAAACCAGACTGCAAAAATCCAGAGGAACTTTCTCCGCAAATACTGAGCTGTCCGTATGTTTAGTCATAATGACTACGAATGGTACTACATTACTATATGTATATTGGTATTGTTTCAGATAATGGACCATGTTTGGGTCGTAAACCGTCCTCATCAGAACCTTTTGAATGGATAACATATAATGAGGTAAGATTGGAACAGCTGATTTATGATGGATAATTATAAATTATTATAAACTCAGATTTGAAATTCTCTTTTTAATTACTAGTACTACAGTAATGATATTTTGGAAGTAAAACAAAAAGAAATATGGTGATGGTGAAATATAAACCTAACCTATTCATTTCTGTCTATTATTATTTTATTTTCAGGTGTTAGAAAGAGCAAAGAATGTTGGTGCAGGATTAGTAAAACTTGGCCATCGACCTGTCAATTCAACTCATCTTGGAATTTATTCACAAAATAGACCAGAGGTAATATACAAACCCAATCTGATTAAAACACAGATCCTATTTGTTTCGTTTTTTATAGTTCAAAATTTTGTTGTACTTGTCTTTACTACACTAGGATCTAGAGGAGTTGTTATATAACATGCGTTCTAGTTGATGTGAGGAATTAGCCAATGAAATGGCCTGTTATGGCGAGTTTTTGGCGTGTTCTGCACGGAACTGTGGGTAAACCCTCTAGAAACGTCAACGCTGATTGATTAATCAATGTCTGACATCATAGGGTCAAAAGCCACTTGTTTGACCCCTGAATTGACCTTCCAGTACAACTGGTCAGATCTTCATGTAGTGTAGGCCATCGAAAGTAGAAAATAACGAAACAAAATGTAGATCTGTATTGTAATCAGATTGACACAAACCTGGACATAAGGCACCTGTCACAGACTTTGTCCAGTACAAATGGACTAATTTTATGACACTTCTAATCTGATTTTAGGTAAAAACAACTAGCCAGTGGAATAACACTTTTATTTCACTGATAAAACGCGGTACTCCACTACTGATCATAAAATAAATTATTTTATTTACAGTATGTAATATTTGATCAAGGATTATATATGTATTCGATGGTTGGCGTACCTTTGTATGATACATTAGGAACAGAAGCCTGTAATTTTATTATAAATCAAGGTTGGTACATGCTTATATACTGTTAGCTTACAAAAGATAATTGTTGGTGTGTACCTGGTAGCCACATAATTGATACAAAATCAAATTATAAAGTATTGTATTGTTCATGCTGATCACCTAAAATCATAGGCTGTCAAATTAAAGATCAGGAAAGCATAAACTGCCACAAGTACAACTAAAGCATTGACTGTCAAAAGTCCTGCCAAAGCATTGACAGCCACAAGTACAGCTTAAACATTGACTGCCAGAAGTACAGCTAAAGCATTGACTGCCAAAAGTTCTGCTAAAGCATTGGTTGACAAATACCCGATGAAGGTTGTTTTTAATCTGTCCTCTTGTTTGTGATGATCATAGGCGTACAGACTAGATGAATATTAGGAGGACAGAACCTGAATGGCCGGTCAGATTATTTTGCCAACTATATGAAATAATAATTTTTGTTATCACTTTACCCGAAAAGTCAGATTCCCCGAAACCTGTGCTATGAACTTATGTTGAAAGAATGATTCATACTTAAAGATGAAAAATTTTATTTTATTTTTTTTAATAAAGAATAAGTAAACATCACAATTTGAATATTTTCAGCCAAACTTGAAACTGTTGTCTGTGATACGAATGCTAAAGTTAAAAATTTACTTGATCGTTGGAAAGAGACAAAAGACACTTTAAAATGTATAGTTTGTATGGAAACAATGTCAGATGAAAATCAGACTAAAGCCAATGCTAATGGTATTAAAACCATGCTATTCTCTGAACTTGAGGTAAGACTTGACAAATTTTTATACGCCTACATTTTCATATAGACGAATATTGTCTGTTGTCATTCACTTTTTACACACCCACATTTAATGTTGATATATTTCGTCGCCCCTGTCCATCTACAATTTGTTTCTGGACAGTCTACAGGTCACAATTTTTATCTGATTTTAACGAAACTTGAAATATAGGTTTATCCCCCAAAAGATTTTGGCATAAATCAGACCATAACTTCTTTAATTATGGCCCCTGATTGTACAAAAAATCATGTTTTTTGCTTGTGGACACTCTAGAGGTCACAATTTTTATCTGATTTTAATGAAACTGGAAGTGTGTGAGGTTATAACCCAAAGATTTTGGTTCCTTTCGATATTCGTGCATATCAGACCTTAGCTTCCTGGATTATATCCCCGGATTGTATGAAAAATCACGTTTTTAGCTTGTGACCCCTCTAGAGGTCACAATTTTTATCTGATTTGAAAAAAAAAAAAGTTTGAATATTACACCATAATGACGATTGAATTTGAATTTCGTGAAAGTCAGACAAAATGGCTACTTTGAGTACGCAAATAGTGTTAAAGTATGTAATATCAAGCTTGTGGATCCTCTAGAAGTGATGAAACTTAAAACATGTGTTTATATCCCAATGATCTCGGTTCCTTTCAATATTCACGTACATCAGACCCTAACTTCCTGTATTATGGCCTCTGATTGTACAAAAAAATTGCGATTTTAGCTTGTGGATCCCCGCTGGTGGTCACAATTTTTATCCAATTTTATAAATCATTTAAATATTTCATTGTTACACCCTGATGATGATTGAGTTCGAATTTCGTAAAAATCAGACCAAAACTGCTCAACAAAATGGTCGCTGCTTGAACGCAAATAATGTAAAAGTATACAAAGGTTGTGGATCCTCTAGAGGTCACAATTTTGTCTGATTTTGATGAAATTTTAAATATGTGTTTATATCCCAAAGTTCTCAGTTCCTTTCGATATTCACGCTTTTTAGACCATAACTTCCTTGAATATATGGCCCAGGATTGTACAAAAAATCTTTTTTTTTTTCTTGTTTTAGCTTATTTTCTATCCATCTCTTGCAAAATGTGGGGGTATCTTGCATGGCAACCGCTTGTTGTAATAAACATAAAAATATTTTTCAAGAATGTAAATATTTTAAAGACAACAAATAGGTATCAAATTTTCATAAATTTAAATTTGACCATCAGGCTTTGTTTTCAGTATTAATGCTTTCTAATTTTTTTTGACAGAAACTAGGAAAAGATAACCCAGTTAAAGAAAATGTAAGTATATATACTCCAGCACTTCCTTTGTATCTAGTTACATGTATCAACAAATAACTTGCTTTTTAACCTATTTTTGATTAGCCAAATGAAGTTATATTCATTAAAAAGGCAAAGAACATAAAAGAATGAAAGCTTCATTATAGGTGATGGTGGCTTGTGTTGACTATTTCCTGTTGATATTGTCTGCAGAAGAATCCAAATATAGACAGATTTTCGATTCATCATATATTTGTATATTCTGAAAGGAATTGAATTAATTTTGGACTCTTATTCCTCTTTAGACATCCAGCTTCCACAATATTATACTTTGCAAGGAATCCCTCAAATGATAATCCGAAACTGTAATGAAAGTTTAATTGAAAATTAACTTTTGGACAAAAGTATGATGTTTTTAATGTAGTTATTATTTATGATTTTAGCCCGCCACACCTGATGATTTATGTTTGATATGTTATACGAGTGGTACAACAGGTTAGTTATTTCTACTCTAGATATATACCATTTTAGCATGTACAATAGAAATATATATGAAATCCAGGACTCAGTGCATCTCCATAATTGCAAAGCATTCTATTGATTTCAGACTAAAGTGATTTAGCTATCTTTCTTGCACAAATCAGACTATTCTTCTTGAAGTTTTCTATTTTAGTTAGGTGTGCTTACATTAATTACAGGATAGCATTAAAATAGTACATGTTTTTGACTTGACAAATGTGTGAATGATCAGGCTTGTATTGCCAATAAAATTAATTAATTTGTTTGCATATTAGGAATTATTATGTGGTTTGTTTTGTATATATTTTACATAATTAGTATATTTTATTTTCTATCTAGGTTTACCAAAAGGAGCAATGTTATCTCATAAAGGTTTAGTAGCAGTGGTCAGTGCCATTGCAGTACAGTTGGTAAGCTTTATCATTATTTTATTCTTCTTAAATATCTGATGTCACTTCTCTATTATTTACAAAGTTTACAAAGATTACAGATTATGTGCTTTTGTATTGGTTGATGTAGTTTTGTTTGCTGCACAAAATTAATGTGAATTACATATTTTTTTGAACAAAGACACAAGTGTATATACACAATATGAATATTTTATAAACTGATTGTTAAAAAATTTGCACTTTAATTATAGCAACCTGCTGGTGTAGATATTGGACCAGGTGAAACAATGATATCATACTTACCATTAGCTCATAGTTATGAACGGATGTTGGAGGTAGGATATATTGTGTTTTAGCATGTAATTTGACCTGCGATAAAAACTGACTATTGCTGGGCTCATTACTACTAGGGGAGCTGCCGTGGGTCAGTGAGTAAGATGTTGGCTTGCTAACCGGGATATCTCCTGTTCATGATTTTCCGGGAAGGGCCTGGCAAGGTGGGGAGAGGGTAGTTTTTATTGTGAATAATAGAGAATTACAACAAACCAACTTGTATTTATTGAATTGGAAAGTGAAACTTGTTAACATCAGCACTACTAGACACCAATAAGTTGTTGTTACCTTTTGGAGTCTGCTTCATTTCATATTGTCAAGAATGCAGTATTTATATGCTGTAATAATGACACCATTATCCTTTCAGAATAATTTTGATATATGTCATTTGAATTGTATTCAATTCTTTTTCAGTGCTATATATTTACTCATGGGGCTAAATTGGGTTTTTTCCAAGGTGATGTACGGAAACTTATGGATGATATCAAGGAATTACAACCCACATTATTCCCTACTGTACCCCGATTATTAAACAGATTCTATGATAAGGTATTGATTTGATTTGGATGTTTTTAACAATTACACAAAAAAACAACTTAATTTTGAGAAGACCTAAAACATTTTGCACTTTTTCAATCTTACTGTCTAAGTTCACGTAGTGCCCCCAAATTCATTTGAAGTGGACTTTACCTAATGTTTTGTGCTTTCGGTTAGTGTAGTATTAGGTTTTGTCTCCTTTGTGTATAAATACATTTTTCTTAGCAACTACTGAACTGATTTACTTCATTTACATTTTAATAGTTAGGTTAGTATTGTGTCACTTTGTAGGTAATTATTTCTCAGTTTGAAAGATATGATAGAGTATTATTGATATGATTCTTCATAGAACATCTGATACCACTTTGCTTAATAATATAGCCATTAATATAGCCACTTCTGGAATATATTTTCTTGCAAGAATGAAAAATTCAATCGAATGTTTTAATACTCCATTCCAATTTCATTTATATTAGAATCATTGTTTTTTTTAGGTAATGGCTGGTGTTAATGCAAGCACCTTTAAAAAGTTTCTGTTTAATATTGCATTAGGTGAAAAAGAGAAGGAAATTAAAAGGTGAGAGACCTCTTGATTGTATTTTATTATTCTTTAAATTTCTCCACCTATAAAAAATGACTGGTTTTATTACCAGACAAAATATCTCATTATATCAAATATGTGACTTAGGATATGAACAAATATGTCATGTTTGATCATTAAATATGATATTTTTAGTCTATTTCATTTGCTCACATTGTAAAATGATGACTTCCAATTCATTTGCTGTCATGACAGATGAACCTTAAAATTATCATCCTTTGAAAAAGGTTTACTAGTAAGCAATGTAAAACACAGTTAAATTTTAGTCCTAGTTTTTGACTTATTGTATTGTTTGTATCGGCGATTCAAGTGTCATGGTTTCAATTTTATGCTTGTATTTGAAACAGAATAGGCCTGTTGCCTGCCAAACCTTGTGCGTTCTGCTGTTTTCTCTCATTGCTAAAGACGACTGCACACAAGCCAATTATTAAAATAAAAATATTTCATGTTAGTTCGGAAACTTGTTTATATTAAGTGGACATTAAACTCCATTTCTCTCTCTCTATTACAGGGGTGTTATAAGAGATAACAGTATCTGGGATCAGTTGGTGTTTAAGAAGATTCAAGCTGCCCTTGGAGGAAAAGTTAAACTGATAACCACCGGATCTGCCCCTCTTTCACCAAAAGTACTTTCTTTCTTACGATGTATTGTTGGCTGTCCAGTAAGTATGCATTTTCAGAATGAATAAAAATTAAGATTGACACAGGCTTCAAAATTAGAGCACGCAAATATGCAAAAAGAGAACTATAATGCAAAATTTTGCGTCTACAGTAATTTTGTTTAAAAAGCAAATTTTAAAACTAGAGTTTTTCTGTAGTTGAACTCTCTGAAAGCGTTCACAACAAAATTTCACATCAGATGCCACTTTGATTTGTTTAGACTCACTTTCCTTGAACAATCGGCCACGCATAACTTAACCAATGAAATAACAATATGTCACCCTCCAGTCAAATAATATATGCGAAACTCAAACTATGGGATATTATTGACCAGTCTTGTTATCGTATTGACCCTAAGAAGGTGATAGGGTCATTTCCCACGATTTACTCAGCCGTAACTAAAATACTACTGATGTAGTATTTTCGTGTAAACAATGATTACCGTATTTCTTAAATGCAAAAACCAAGAAAATACACATTTGTGAAGAAGTGGTGGTTGAATAGATCCAAACGATCAAATTCTGTTCCATTTGGCACCAGGCAGAAAAATGTTGTGTTAATTTTTTTGTGTGATTACAACTATTGAAAATTTTTGTTTGTTAGTTATGTTACACTTTGTTCTTTCTTCTAATTTTAAAAATTAGAAAAAAATTGCTTCTGGTGTTGAAAATATAAATCGAACCCTAAGTAACACGTATAATATTATTGATAAGCCTAAAGTGCGTATATTTTTGACTGACAATAGATAACCTTGCCTTGTCTAGATAACCTATAAAAAAAATTTATCTTTCATTATCTAGTGCAAAAGAAAACGTGATTAACAGTTCCCTTATCATACTTATAAATTATATCACATATTAAATTTATGTCATTCAAATCTGAACATCTACCCTGTATATCATATTTATTAAATAGAACCTGTTTTTTTAAATTGATAACATATTTCAAGTATATTTAGCTTTGTAAGTGTAATTAAGTTCAACATTTGAATTTCTTGGTATATAAATTGACTTACGGTTTAATTTTTAGATGGATATTTTCAATACCCTTCAGATATGGAGGAGCAAAAATTGTCCAAATCAGAGCCCCTATCTTTAACCTTGTTATGAGATATATACCTTTGGGCATATTTATAACCAATATCTTCTGATAGAACTATATTTCAGGTGTTTACAATATAGTTATTTTTGGGTGTTAAATAGACAACCTTGAACTATATTGATTTTCTCTGTTCTTGAGAATTGAGTCCAACAAAATTGGTTATAACTCTTGAGGCTTAACAGTTTTAAATAATTAGGCTTAAATTTAGTTTAGAGTGTAGTTGTTAAAAATTGGTGTGTTGTTTATAGGTTATAGAAGGATATGGTCAGACAGAGAGCCATGCTATATCAACATTACAGTTACCTGGAGATGCACAATCAGGTATATATATATTATTACATCAGTGTGAAGAAAACATTATGATGCAATGGGACATGATATATAAATGTCCAAAGAATCTGCAGTTTAAACTTTGAATTTTGATTGTGGTCTAAGGGGAGATAACTCTCGAGATGTCATAAAATTTAAATTTGAAAAGTGATAATTTTTTCAAGAATTTTAATTTTGTTTATTCAAATTGTCATATATATGAATTTGGTTGTTATAGTAATATTTCATTATGCTTAATATCTCTGCAGGAACTGTTGGTCCGCCATTAGCATGTAATGCAATTAAATTGTGTGATGTCACAGAGATGGAATACTATGCAAAGAATAATAAGGGAGAGGTATGGAATCCATAAATAAAGTGAAAATTAATATTTTTATTGCCACAGCCATAATATTATTCATTTAATTTCACAATCTGTTTCACAGCAGTAATGTGAAAGCCTCTTTTTAACTCTACACGATGACTGACCTTTAATGTCACGTGCAGTATAGGTCTATATGTGTGACGTCAGATCATACAGCTTTGATGACGTGTACATTGTTTACATTGCTCGTAACACAACCTAGTCCGGGCAGAATTGGTACCTTTTACTCATTTTGCATCTTCGTGTAATATTTTATGTACCCATTTACAGCTAATTAACTCTCCCCAATGCCATTCCCCCTCTCAGTGTTAGTAGCGGCCAAGCAAATATTTACTGTTGACTAGTTTGTTCATTTCCTCTTATTTCTTATTTCAAAGAAAACCTTAATTGATATTTTCTTATTTTTGTTTGTTTTCAGATTTGTGTTAAAGGGCCAAATGTATTTACAGGATATTTAAATGATCGTGTTAAAACTAAAGAAGCACTAGATGACGATGGTTGGTTACATACTGGTGATATTGGAGAATGGTTACCGGTTAGTTCAATCTTAAAATATGTAACAATTTGAAAGGATTTCATGAATTTTCTGGAATTGACCTTTCTGAATCTTAAATAAAATGACATGGTGATTGAACATCATTTTTTCTATGTAAGCTTCTGCAAGAAATTTTGTGATTATTATCTTAGTTTATTATACAGTTACAGTCCTATTATACCTTTCTTGTGGAATAATTAATGTTTAATCGACTCTAATGCTGATATTTGGCTCAGTGCTTTTTAAATTTTTGAACAACCATAAGGTCATGTGACAAGCCCTGATTCCCTTTACAAAGCTTCTATGTCAATGATTTAAGGGAAAAATTTATCAGTATCCTATATCAAAGAATCTTGTAACATGAGATTTATAAAAACAATTATGTTGAGGTGCTGTAAATGAATATTTATTTTTCAGTCTGGTACCTTGAAAATTATTGATAGAAAGAAGCATATCTTCAAGCTAGCTCAGGTATTGTCAGATTATTATTGTATGTTTAATGGAATATAGGATAAAATTCAACTGTTCAAATATATGAAATATAACCATTTGAGTACTTGAGAATCTTATTTATACATTATATAAAGTTGCATCACAAGGTTTGAATTTGAGAGGACTGGCCATTTAGCTTCTGTCCCAGTGTGTGCCAAGAGAAACCTTGATCTAAGGTGTTTCGGTTCCAGCCTATGAGGCTGAACTGTTGCCTTGTTGTTTGGATGGGATGGAAAAGACAAGATCCACCCATGTACACAGTGGTTGGTGTGCACATAACACAATCTGTGACAGTATAAAATCAAAGAATAGAAGGCAGAAATCTCTATCCTGGTAGAATTCCCCCATCTCATATTCCATATTTAAACAGAAATAAAATTTACCATCATGGTTGTCCCAAAATGGCCAAAGTATTGTGTCGACAAGAAATTAAACACCATTCCATATAACATGATTTATCAGCTGAATATCCTTCATGGCTGATTTACACTGTACTTTGATCTAGACATAATATAAATGTCTTCTGTTATTATAGGGTGAATATATAGCACCGGAGAAGATAGAGAATGTCTATGTACGATCCTCTCTCATATCACAAGTATTTGTACATGGTGACAGCTTACAGGTAAATCTCTTTACTCCTGTCAAAATTCTTAATTTCTTTATAATTCCTAAATTTTATGCCATTCCTGGTACCGCTATCTACTATTGTACAAATTGAAATTAATGGAGCATTGAAGATGTTATGATACCAATATACTAATATTGAAATTCACAGAGTTAACTCTCAGATGAAAGTCTATAAATTAATATACCTGAAATTTACCCTGTTATTGTAGGCTTGTTTAATTGGTATTGTTGTGCCTGATCCAGATTTACTACCCAAATTTTGTAAACAGAAATTAAATTTAACAGGAAATATTTCTGATCTTGCCAGAAATCCAGTAAGTTATTATTTTTGTATGCCCAAATATTGTACTTATCTTTTCATTCACATTTCTAGTTTTAAAGCCCAGTACAGAGTTTATAATAGACATTTTAAAACTTCCTTTGTGATATTTGTTTGAGATTGTTTAGTTTCACCAAATTTGATATAAATTACAATGAGATATTTTGTAGGTATATTATGTTCTATGATTGTGTTTTTCTAGGAAGTGAAGAAAGCCATTATGGCGGATCTAGTGGAAGTAGGAAAGAAATCTGGTTTACAATCATTTGAACAGGTATTTTATAACTTGCTTCATCAGATTATTTACCTTTCCTTATTTCACAATAAAGAATTCTATACAGACATTATTTCTTACCCATGTAATGTGAGATTCAAATTATTGTTGTAAAACTATACCATCTGGTTGTCTACATGTATATACCTTTTTAATTTAACAATATATAAATATATCTGTCCAATTTACCATGTTATCTTATGAATTCCATATCATGAACTGATGAGAAATAAATGCTTCTTAACTGTAGGTGAAAGAAAAATAAAGCTAGATTATTATGATTTTGAATGAATACATTCTTTAAAATGTTATTACATACTTTTACATATATTAAATTTTTATTTTGTAGATTAAAGATGTGTATGTTTATCCAGAGATGTTTTCAGTTGAAAACGGTCTGCTCACACCCACCTTTAAAGCCAAACGACAAGAGCTCTTAAAATACTTTAAAAAACAGTTACAAGAGATGTACGATAAAATGGCCTAATATTGATGGATTGATCATTCCAAAAATCACAGATATACAATGCCACATTAAACTTGAGTTAAATATATTATATATACTTTATTGTTTTAGTTATAATCTTATTTATTATCAAAAAAACACACAAAAATGAAGAAGAGCTAGTTTTATAAGATACGATTGACTTTTGGATGCAATTATTTTTTTTGGGTTTATTTGTTGTTTTTTGTGAGTGTTTTTGTGTTTGGGTTAGTGACCAACATGTTTAATGTAAATATTGATGTAATTGTATAAAAAAAAAATGGAAAAACTTAAGTAAGCGATTATTAAAAAAAAGAATCCAATTTAATAAAAATGAAAAGAAAAGATGTTTTGAAATACATCAGCAAATATTTGGAGTGTAGTGAAGGGTTAGTTGTCTAGATAATATTAGATAATGAGTTAATTGTACAGTGTTGGTTTTAGAAAAACATATGAGATTATTAAAACTTTACAATATGGAAGGCGTTAAAGATACACTCATGCATAATCATCATTATTAAAGTGTAAATTGAATATTTAAAGTTGACTTGGAATTTCAGCTATGTATATTAAGAAAATTTGTTTGTTTATTTATACAATGAATTATTAGACTTGGCAGTGCTAAATTTTGAACTGTCTAAAATATGAGTCGGGTTGGGGTGGAGATTGCTAGATTTGCAGTACAGGCCAATTGTAATGGATTAAATAGATTGGAAGTTTGCACAGTAACAGTTTTAACAGACTACTTCTTGCAAATGTATATTTCTATGAACCTGTTCTACCATTGGCTACTATTTTAACTTCTCTGTACATGTCAGTCGAGTTGGCCCTCTGTATATCGAATATGATTATAGTATGAAAGAAAGATGCTAGGTGTATGAAAGATAGATGATGTAGATGAGTGTAGGAAAGGTTAATATATCTCTACTTTTAAGTGCAGAGCTTGAGTAAATTGTGAAGCATTATATAGTGAGAAGTGTTTAAACTGTTAATATAACCTGTGAATATACTGATAGTTGTGTTTAATTGTTAGTATAGTAATTATAATGTTGGCAGCATTCTTTCTAAACCTCACAAAAGCTGCTATAGATTCCCTAATATTACTAGTAGGAGGTTAAACCGCATTTCATTTATTTTTATTATTAATTCCATACTTTGTGAAACTTTTAACATTTATTTAAATAGAAAAGAATAAATAATTTTATAATGGTTGGCTTATACATATATTGCGTTGGAAGTACTGATGAGTTATTGGGAATATAAAAATTAATTGATGAGTTAAAGGAACAACAAACAGGTGGCATTTAAAATTTAAAGAATATACCATACTATTATTGCAATTTTGGGTAAAGAAATACAAAACTATATATATGAAGAACCTGGAGAATTAAAATTGGCAATTTGAAATTGATTGAAACTTGATCTAGGATAAATTGATTAGAATAATTATTTGACTGGTATGTTATTTGGGTGCTTGTGATTTGCGTAGGGTATTATTCTAGCATGATTTCTCTTTACACATTTCTCATGGTCTCTATAGTTTATTCTATATGCATCACTCATAGTATTGAATTCCATAGATTGTTTGGTTAAATTATTTATTGTTGATTGTTTTTTGTTTACGTACATATGTATAATACACAAGTAGCGTTTGTTATTAGTTTGTATGTGCAATGCTGTTCAGTGTCATTAAAAGATTAGTAAGCTCATTAATTTTAAAAAATAGTTTAATAATTACTAACTATCCAGCATGGGTTTATGTTGTTTAAGTAAAATTTCTATCCTCTTATGTTTTATGGATTTTCTCACAAAGCAGGTTAAAAAGTAAAATCAGTGGTGGGTAGAAAGATATTTTATCAAACAGTCCATTGGTTATAGGGGCAGATATGCTATTTGCTGAATACAAATTACAAAATAAATTGTTTGTCCTCATTTTGGACCAAATTTTAATATTCATTAATTTTTCACCCAACCTCATTGATCCAAATTAATCAAATTGTTTTCTTACCCTTAACTTATAGAACAAAAACAGCTTATTATTCACAGTATTTACTTTAACTGAATCATAAAGAAGTAATAATTATAATTTTATTAATATTGTGACAGTATTGTCCTTTTAAAAATATTTGCTAAATATGAAATTATTTAATGTGTGCTTCATTTTCATGTGACTGACCCATAGCTTTAGTGAATTTGTTCTCTTGATCAGTTCCGCATTTTGATGTCTCTTAGCCTTTTAGTCACAGTTCAACTAAAATGTACATTATACCCTAGTAATTTATTTTAGTGCATGTAATTAGTTCTGATTTATTATTGCAATTCAGACGTTTGATTAAAAAAAAAATTCGAAAAACTGTGGGTCATCATATTTATGAGTAAATTGCTCATCAAATAAGGTTACACAAGCTTCATTTTATAGCCAGTTTATATTTGATCAATTTCATTTGTAATTATTAAACTGTATATGTACACATGTATATCAAATTTCTTGAAGCTTAAAGGCTTAAATTGTCATTCTATACAGCTCTTAATTTGCAAATAAAAATAAGTTGTGATTCAATTAGTGTTCTATATTTAAATCCAGGTGCTGAACCTCTGTCTTTCTACAGGTACTTCATCTTTCTCCAACTTTTAAGACCCATGCATGCAAGCAAATTATTGAAATAAAATGATAACCATCCTGAAATGACATTATTAGTGTTGAGCCACCAACCCCATGATCCATACTGCTGCAGTACATGTAACTAGAGTTCATAGGGTTGAATCATGTTGGGGGTCTAAAACAGTGTCAGTGGAATTTGTCGAGATAGTTGTTTAGATGTGTCAAAAAAAAGAGCAAGGTCTCTGTATAACCCTATTAACATCTCTGCCAAGAACAATTTCCTAGGACACGCTTTTGAGGGCCACACTATATTTTGTTCTGGAACATTTTCATTAGTTTGGTCATATTTACTTTCACTAAAGTAAAAAAAAATTCTTGTCAAAAGGTTAATATCCCTGAATCATTCAGTCTTAGCCTATATAGCAACAAATCTTAAGTTAGTGTGTCAAAATTTCCAACGAATTTAGTGAGGTTTTAACATCCTTCATGTATCTGCCTGCACCAACCAGGATAATGAAGACAGGCATATGCCATTCAGAAATTTTCCCTCGACAGCAATTAATTCCAACTGTGGAAGGTGTTTTGCCAGGCTCTCTGGATTCTGTTACACATCTCACTGACAAGGGAAAACCACACTAGAAAAAAAATGGGGATCCAACTTAGACCTCCCGGTTAGTAGGCCAGCGCTTTTCTCACTGAGCCACTGTGGCTCCCCAAAAATTCAAGTTGTCTGGCCATTTTGGATTAGTTTTCTCCCCATGTTATCACTGCCCTAGTTTTCTTAATTTTATGTGACCTTATGAACAAACTACCAGTAAATGGGGAATTGTTGTGATATCACCTCTTGAATAAACCTATTTCACACAGTGAGTGGACTGGTGTCTTTACTAACTATGAAGTAACACGTAACAGATTTCACTAAGAAATATTTAATTTTTGCAATAAAACAGACATAATATACATATACAAGACAATGATTGTCCATTAAATGTGATGTTAATGAATGATAATTCTATAAAAAATATAATCCCTACAACTAATATTTCTATCCAATCTTGGAAACTTTAGTTCAATTAATTTTAATTTTAAGATTCCATAGAATATCTGTAAGTAATAAATGAATCTGGGTACAGTTACATGTATATCAAATGATGGTAAATAATAGAAATTGTTGAATTGCCATGTTGGTCCTGAAATAGCATTTCTTTCACTCAATACTGGAAAACTACTCCTATGTCAAATAGTCACACTAAACAGGAAACTGACATGAAATAATTTTCCAAAAATAGACTGTAATATCATACTTTCTGAATAGAAATACATGTATTCAGGTAACACAATTAAAACTTTTATAATAGACAAAAATATGACAATCTAAATTACTTTTACATACATATTTTTGAAATATAAGTTATTAATAAGTATGCTAAACTAAGATAGCTTTTTGTTTTCTTTATCAATTAATTCATGTATATCAGTTTTTAGAAAATATTAATTTATTGTAAAATGCCCAACAATAATTTAAGTATCATTTGATATGAAGAAAGATAGAAGGAACACTTTTTGTTAACGACCCAGGAACAATAGGATGTGTTAAGTTGTATTCTTAAATGTCAAGCTCTTTAGCTTTTTTTTAGCTTTAAAAAAACAAAAAAGAAACAAAATAATAACAAAACAAGTCAATGCATCATCCTTGACCTTCATATATATTCTGGATGTTTTGTTTGAGACTAACATTTCACCATCTTTTATCCAGACCAAATCAACTTTAGATTTCCAGCTGTTAATAAATTCTTCAGTTTAAATTTAGCATAAGGGGACATGCTGACAATCCACCACCAATGTGCTGGGTCTTTAAAATAAGCATATCTAATAATAGTGGTGACAATGCGAGTTATTCAAACAAAAATAAAACTATTTACCCTGTTTTAGCTACGATGTACATGTACATCAAGAATGATCAGTTTCCTGTATAACACCAACTATAATAAAGTCTTATATTTAAACAAAAATATAATTGAAAATATATATATGATATGATCTATGAATGAAAATATATTTTTCACCATAACTAAAACATCACTCTCACGCATTATCCCGATCTGACGATGTTACATCTAGAATTGCAACATTAAAATGTATCTCTAAAACGAGATTAACAAACAATTACATGTATTTGTAAAAGCAGTGTGTTTTCATTGTGTCTCAGTCAAGAAAATGTGCCCTCATTGTTTAAAATATTTAGAATCCTTTATGAACTAAACATAAACACAGACTAGGTCCACCAGCAGCATTGTCATTGTACAGGCATATATCATGAAAATTGCTGTATACATGCACAATTGCTAATTTCTAAAAACTAAACAAGGCAAGAACATTCACTAAAGAGCGTCTTAAGATCTTAAAGAGACTTTTTCACTTTCAACAAAAATATCAATTCATTTTTAATATTAGATTCACCTAATTATTCAAAATCCAACAACTGCGACTGTACTGTGCAGTGATAGCTTATGGCTAGCTCCCGGATCCATTCACTTGTTCTGATATATGCGCTTTGTTTTTTGTGGTGTCTGTATATTGTGTACGGTCCGTAGCTTTGTTTTGTGTAAGCGTTTGTGTGTGGTGCGGTCCCCCTTCATTTACTACTAGTAAAAGACTTTTTGCACAAGCCTTTTTGAAACAACTTGAAAATAACTAAAAATAAAATTCTAATACTATTAGTAATAGTGAAAACATCTGCCAGTGATGCATTACTCCATTTGTTTTAGTTTTTCACTCATAGTCTATATTAATCTTAGTACACAAATTTAAGATACAAACACAAAATAAAGACAGATTTTTAACATACATACAAAAAGACTAACTGGTAACAATTCGTTGACGTATATTGAAAATATCTGAACCGGTAACAAATAATTTTTGCATAAAAATGCAAGCAATAGATTCTTGTTACCAGTGATGTTATTTTGGCAGAAATAAGGAAGCGTTGAGAAACTGATATGATAATATATTCTGTAAAGATATTAAGAGCAAGAATGGCATAGTTTCTAACTATTTTCTACTACTTGATATCTTGTACAAGTTGTATAGAATCCGCTGAACTGAACATAAGTAATGAAAGCAAACAATCTGCATGGAAGACATATACTATACTAATACAATAATATACATATTAAAATCATGCCTTTCACTAAAAAATATGACAGAAACAAGTATAAAGAAAAAATGTAAAAATATTAATATATACAAATAAACATATCAATTTCATGTTTATCCTCATATATATTACATAACAACAATAAATATACATCACTAAATACTTTTAATATTATTTATCTATTGTTTACAAGACATGTATCAATCTCCGGGACCATGGATGGATTTAATTTCTACTGATATCTATCTAAAGTTACCCAAGCTGCTTGTAAATTTTATTCAAAGAATAACATTAAGTTGAAGCTCAGTATTTACTCCTGTCAGAAAGTCTATTATGTCTGTATTCATAAAAGGGAATTCGGGGGCAAATAACTTGTCTGAAATTGATAGATCTTTCGATTCTCACTTTGTATTTACTGACTGATGGAGAAGCTTTCATTTGCCTTTGAATTTGAATATGAATGCAACAGACTTTAGGCTTATACTTAACCTCAGTTAAATGTTATTTTTAAAAGATTTTACATTTTACAAGTGCCTGTAAACTCACTGCTATAAATTAAGTTAAAATTAAAGTATATTTATATCTAAACTCACCGCTATAAATTTAGTTTAAATTTACAATATATTTTGATTTAAAGATACAGCTTTTCTTCACAGAAGAAAAAACTTTAAAATATCAATAATATGTGTTTATATACAATCTGAGAAATAATCGTCATATTATGCACTACATATAATATTTTATACATTAGTACTACAACATTTCATAAAACTAGCATCTGATGCCCAAGGCAGTTCATGTTGAGTTCATAAAAATAAATATCCACACTAGTCACTTCACTTCTTCTTTTTTCGGCTTGGATTTGCTCAACAATAGTAATAACAGTCTTTGTGATTAAATCATGCTTTTTTAAATTTAAAATATTCATGTTCAATAATAGCAAAACAATTTTTTAACATGTTCTCTAGCTGTACATTTCACAATATATTTTAAGCATTAAATATGATATTTCAAAATGGTGTATGTTACACATAACTCAACAATACGGTTTGGAATTTAGAAATCATTTGTAATTTATAATTTGCGTAAGTTTGTGGATGGGTTTCTTTACTGGCACATATTGAAATTTTTAGGTTCATAATTAAAGTCAACAATCAATAGCACTTGTAATTTGAGATTCAATTTTGTTGGTTATCAAGACAAAAATACAATATTATTACTAAAGAGAGCTAGGACACTTGTCTCCATCTATCATATAATAACATATTCTTCTTCTTTACAGTAGGACACCACTGCATTTCACTGTGTTCATGGTGCAAACATTGGAAATGATCTTTCAAGACACATTTGAGAAAACAGAACATTCATTGGTTATAAAAATAACATTTAAAATACATCTGTTTACCAAACATCTAGGTTAGAAAAACCTTTTTGACATAACACTATCAATTATTATTATTGTTATAGTCACAGATCTGTGGCATGCAGTATCATGAAAGATCAAGAAATTCTGACCCAAGATTTGTAGCATGCAGAGTATAAACAGGAACTAGCAGATATTAAATCTTTAGGCCCTATGTCCATGTAATCCTGTATGTCTTTGTAAACATGTATGTTCTGTAACCATGTATGTTCGATAAGTTGGCATCAAAAAACTGTCTTTCCACTTTTTTAGCATATATTCAGTTTGCATCTGTAAAATCAGGTACAAAACTATGGACATGGAAAGATATGAAATACAGTAGTGGCTGTGGTATAAAGAACAGATTTCTGTTGAAATAATCTCTCGATAAAACACATTTGGCTAAAATTAGAAATAAGAATTTGAACAAGTTCGAAACTTTGGGTACCAGTTATGTTTTAAAATGCCTCACTTATTTTGCCATCAGTCTTCTGTGATATTATATTTTGAAATTACCTTCCCACAATACACAATTATAAGCTGATACATAGAGTAAGGTATTAACAATATTGTTTATTTGGTTAAGTGTTGACTAGTCATCTGCTCTCACCTAATAAAAAAAAAAACGCAAATTTAAATTTTCCCATAAAAACAACCAGGGATTCGAAACCACGCCAGTTGACTCAATGACAAGCTTTATGATACAGCACAAATGCTAACCATTCGCATGACAAATAACATATAAACATGGCATTGTTCTAATTCACTAACTTTATCTCTAGTTTTGTTCTTCTTAATCCATTATATGTTTTAAAAGACCAAAAGTGTATAATCAACAAAGACTTGCTAAAATTTCAGATTTCAAACTTGCTTGATTAAATAAACTATAAGTCACAATTATTTTCAACTTACATTTACAACAGTAGGCTACTATTAACAAACATGAATTACAATATCATCTAGCTGTATATTAACATTAGAAGTATCAATGGTTTGGCTATATATTACACTATATGAAACTAAATTAACCATGATCAAATATGTCAGAGTAACACTCAAGTCAGTGGTCTAGATAATTAGCTGATTTCTTAATAGAAAGAATGAGCAAATTTAGTTTATTCTATTCAAGTATTCAGTAAATATCTTATTATATTTCTATTTACTGTATGCTTACCATTTGATTGTTTATTCATTCATCCCCACCTCGCAATTCTTCCTCTAACCAAGCTGGTACTTCTGTATTTAATTTATCCAATAACTTAGATAATGCCACATTATGTCGTTGATAATATTGTTTTAGAAAAAGTTGTTCTTCTTTGTTCATTGGAGGATATGTTCTTCCTTTACTTTTACCTAAACACTTATTTCTATCTTCTGATACAACTTGACAGAAGAAACCCTTTTTAGGATCAAACCTGGAGGAAAAGTAGTGAAATTAGTTAGGTTTGATTTTTCTGTGGTTAAATATAAAAGAGGTGTGATAGCTGTTTGATAAGACCACTGGATTCGTAACTTCAATATTTTGAGTTCCAATCTCGGCATGGGTAGATGATAAGACCTTTTTCAATAAACACTAGATGCCAGAATGTGTTCACCACTCATATCATCTCCATTACACGTGTAGCATTAAGATTTCAGATTTATTCTAGTACTTAGAAAACACAGACAAACTCTAAAGAACAGTCACAAATAGTTTTAAAAAATACCTTGCTTTGTATTACATTATAAGATGTTATAAATTAAAATGTAAACAATGAGATAATATGTCAAGAAATTGTAATTGACATCCAATGCCGGACCGCTGAACTGAAGTGACGACAAAATATGTCCACATTAAATGGATGTTTAAAAGTTGATGGACAGATTCTAAAATATACAGCTAATCTGACAGAGTAAGTGTATCTTGTCATTTGAATGGAAAAAAATACTGGAGGTGCACAAAAATTGTTCAATTTGGACATTCATTGATTAGAAATTACAATTTATATTTTAAATTGAATATATATCACCATATTTACATTCATATTACATTAGGATGTGCTGGTGGACCCATTTTCGTCTATTTTAAGGTACAAACAATAAAACCATACGCCATTTAAAGAAGATTTGTTTCTCACCTCAAAAATTGGCTATAATCAAAATAAGGATCTATATGTAGAAATCGTTGAATTGTATGCATCACATGTATAGGATCATTCTTTAACTGTTCACCATCAACAATAAATAACTAAAAATAATATAAATAAACTATTTACAACAATCTGACATTTTTAGGTATGAGCATGTGCAACTTATGAAAACACATCTTGTATCAAGTGTTCTAGAAGGATCAAGTACACATACTAACGTTTTGATTTAGAAAGAACATCTAACTTAAATTACCACCATTTCTTCTTAAAAGTTTTAATCAAAGTCTAACAAACAACTAATAATTTAAATGCTCCCCTCCCACCTCGTGTCATTCCTACTACCATCGCCCAATAAAAATACAGAAAAACTAACAAACCTGTCTAGAAGGGTAGTAGTCTAACCATCGTATTAAATGTTGTGCATACATTCCAGGATTTAAACAACGGTTTCGTAATTCACGTAATTTACGTGGATCAATATCTGTAGCTGTTATTACATCATAAAAGGAATAATTTAATGCTGTTGGATCTTCATGAGATCTCATATGCTGAAAACAAAAGAGCATTTTTTTCTGAGAAAGTTAAGTCTATGTAACATTTTTTATTTTACTCAACATTTGTTTGGGTATCAATTTGACAAGCAAATACTAATACACAAAATGTTTTCTAAAATTTATTGAATAAAATATAAACAGACAAGAATAGTTTGTAAATGTTTGATAATACTCAGATTTCTAGCAAATGATACAAAATCAATTCCTTTGGGGACCATGAAATACATCTGGATGTCCGCAAAGTCAAAGGTTTCCAAGAAGAATATGGGATTAGTGAAACAAAGATAGCCAAGTAAAATTGAATATGAAATTGTTGGTACTGGAGACAATGAATTTCAGCATATTAGAAATGGATTTTTACGTCCACTCGACACAAACTAAGTCATTTCAGGACTAACATAAGTTTAATTTTATCTAAATACATTGTAATTCAATTGTGTGTGGGGGTCTTTAGCCGCGGGAGGAGCTCGGAGGTTGGACAAACGACTCTACTCCTTGTCAAGTACAAAGGGGGAATAGAAACCATGCCACTTGCCTCAATGACAGAACTTGTCATCTAATGCGCAGGCTTTAAACCATTGGGCCAAACAACCAACCAACCCCACCCAAAAGCTAATACATTACAGGAATGGTGATCATCTTGCTATGTGTTGATGTACCATGCTTTGTTCGAGTTTATCAAAGATTTATGTGAAAAGCAGTGGCATGCTTCCAAGAACATCTGGTTGAGAACTACTGGCCTAAGGTACACATTTACGCAAAAAACCATGCAAACATTAACTACTAACCTGATACCAGGAGTAAGCTCGTTTAGATGGATTAATTAATATACATATTATTTTAGCTCTAGGTAACAATGCAAATGCCCTTCTAGGCACCACCTCATTATCAAAATATGTTGCACTTTTTTCAAATAAATAAGTAGAGGTAGTATTTTTTGGTGTGGGGAAAAACTCCATATACCTACAAAAAAATTAAATACACGCTATCATTCCATCTTATTAACTCATCTATTGTCAATTATCTTTCCCATTCATCAATCAGTCAAGATGGAGAGAAAGTTAATATATTATTCATAAACTTCAACCAGTAAATAGAATTATTTCAGTCTAAGAAAGAAAATTATATAAGAATCAATGAAGATGTCTAGACAATCAATAAGTTAATCGTGTGAGGCTTAAAACTACACAATTATAAAATATTTAGTTCTTCATCAAATTGCTATAGTTTATAAAAGCTTTATCACATCCTCTACCATTCTGTACCATGGTAATAATGATCTCTACACAGATAACAGTTTATAGAATGTATTCCCTACCATGTTATGTTATGGTAATTATTATCTCTACATAACAGTTTATAGAATGTATTCCCTACCATTTTATGTTATGGTAATAATTATCTCTACATAACAGTTTATAGAATGTATTCCCTACCATGTTATGTTATGGTAATAACAGTTTATAGAATGTATTCCCTACCATGTTATGTTATGGTAATAATTATCTCTACATAGCAGTTTATAGAATGTGTTTCCTACCATTTTATGTTATGGTAATAATTATCTTTATAAAAGTAACAGTCTATAAAATGTGTTCCCTACCATATTATGTCATGGTGTTTATTATTTCTACAAGATTCACAGTTTACAAAAAATTTTCAACTACCAGTTTTTATCATGGTAATAATTATTAATATCACTTAAAACCCCTGATCATCATTTATGTTTTCAAACAATATATGATTTTAATTTTTCACAACTTAATCTATGCTAAAATCTACTCAAATTGATTTGTTCTCATTTAATTAAGAAAAGAAGATATAATTTGTGGAAATCTTTAATTCATTATATCATATCAACATTCACAATCATCAGGTTTATAACAGTTTATGGTCATTTCATTATCTCCACCAATTAAGTAACAGTTTATAAATTATTTTTATTAAAGTAATAGTTTATAGTAGTAACTATTTATATTAAAGTAATAGTTTATAGTAATAATTATTTATATTAAAATAACGTTTACAGTAGTATTTTTTTTTTTTTTTTTTTTTTAACCAAAGTAACAAATTATAGTAGGAATTGTTCCTACAAAAACATAACATACCAGTCGATTCCATGGTAATAATTATTACCATTAAAAAACTGAACTTCTTCAAATGTATCAGGACTATTGAAATTACTCTCAATAGCAGGATGCATTCCAAGAAATGTATAAAGAGCAGTTGTACCTGAAAATATAATGTCAATCAAATTACTCATTTTTCTTAAGTTATCTTTTCTTTTTTATTGTATATTTATTATTGTTGCCCAAATCAGAAATCTTAGGTTTTTAAATTTTATTTTAAAAACTTTTTGTTAAGATCTTATACAATTCTATCATTAGCTTATATTGAAATATTCATGAATAATAACATAAACAGACACTAAACGCCATTCTATTCTTTTTTTCTGTGATTTTAAAAGCAAGGAATTTCATGGTACCTACCAGTTTTTTGAGGTCCGATGACAAGAAAATTGGGCAGTTTTTCACAGGTTTTATTGGTAGACCAGATACTGAGATGTCTCTTATGGTCACATGGATTCTAAATAAGGAAAAGAATAAAATATTTTCTCATTATTACAGATTAAAAATGCAATGAATTGTGATAAATGTTATATAATCTGATTCTTCTGTTTATTTTTTTTTCCCAGACAAATTGCTGTACAACATGAATATAATGACACGATGTAAATAAACAAGTCTAGATACTGAAATATTAAACACATGGTAAAGTTGCACGCTTATTATATTGTATTGATCTTTTAACACAAATTCAAAAAATTTTGTTGACATGAATTGAAAAATGATGAATGTATAAAAAGTAGCCTAGTAATGGTTACTGTACCTGCCATATTGGGTCTCTTTCTTCAGGATACATTTCAAAATATTTAAGAGCTAATTGAAGAGGTGGAACTGCGAGTAATTTTAAGTTGGTCCAACACTGAATAAACTTTAGAACACTTTCAAATGTATATAATGCTAATCTGTCATTACCATAATTTGACATATGTGTCATGAATACACTAATCTGAAAGTAAAACCCCAATAAAACAAGTGGTTGCCATGCAAGATATGCGGAGATGGACAGAGAACAAGCTAAAAAAAAAAGATAGGTTGCCAGGCAACGAAACATACGCCCACAGCAGCTAAGTCGTCTGAGCAGTCAACAAGAGTGGGCGTATAAAAATGATTTTCCATACAATCAGGGGCCATAATCAAGGATGTTATGGTCTGACATGCATCAATATCAACAGGAACCGAGATCTTTGGGATATAAACATATGTTTTAAGTTTCATCAAAATCGGATAAAAATTGTGATTTCTAGAAGGTCCACAATCTAAAAACGTGATTTTTCGTACAATTAGGGGCCATAATGCAGAAAGTCATGCTCCAATACGCGATAACATCGAAAGCAACTGTGATTTTTCATATAAACAGGGGCCATAATCCATGAATGGACGGACAGACAGGGCCGACAACAGTATAAAATATAAAAATATTCCATTTATTATCATTAACTTTCATTATCTATCTATTACAAATATCATAACTATCAAGACTTTTTTAAACAAGCCAACAGTAAAGCCGATGTCCCCTGTCGCAATTCCAAAATAATAGCACATTTATCTTTTTGAAAAGTATCAAACAACCCAAATGATTATCTATGCTTAGTCTAAACATAAAATGATCACAATCAAACTCATCACTCTATCAGTTAGGATCAAAGTTATCTTGTCCCAAAGCATCGACCAATGAAACAGTTTAGCTCTGCTTAACTTTAGCGGAAAATGTTGATCACTGAACTCATTGAAGAGATTCATCTAATGAACATCTCTACACCATGTTTAACCATTCTACCTCAATTAAAAGCAGAGTTGTTATGTTCCAAAGTCTTGACCAATCAAATTGCTCATTGCTACTAAATCAAAGCAGAAAATCCTCATCATCGAACTTTGTCAAAGTATTGATAAAATGAATCTATACTCTGAGTTTCATCACTCTCACCCAATTAGAACCAAAGTCTCAACCACTTAAATTGCTTATCTCTTCTTACCCTAAGCAGAAAATGCTCATATTCGAACTCCATCAAAGCATCGACCTAATAAACATCTACACCATGTTTGAACATTCTAGCACAAGGAGAGTTATTGTGTTCCAACATCGAAACCAATAACATTGAAATCTCTACTTAGCCTAAGAAGAAAATGCTCATCATCTAACTTAGTCAAGGTATTGATGTAATGAAACTATACACCACTCTCACTCAATTAGAATCAAAGTTATCAAGCTCCAATGTCTCGACCAATAAAATTGCTTATCGCTCTGCTTACACAGAGCTGAAAATGCTCATTATCGAACTTAAGTCAAGGTATTCATATAATGAAACAATACACCAAGTTTCATTACTCTAGACCCAAAGTTGTCAGGTCCCAAAGCATCAACCAATCAAATTGCTTATCCCTGCTTACCCTAAGCAGAAATGCTCATCTTCGAACTCCATCAAAGCATCGACCTAATAAACACCTACACCATGTTTGAACATTCTAGCACAATTAGAAGGGGAGTTATTGTGTCCCAAAAAGTGTGACGGACGGACAGACAGATGGATGAACAGACAGACCCATTTTAATAATCGCCTGCTATCTTCGAAAGGCGGGGAACAAAAATCAGCGGCCTTCTTTGTCTTCCTAGCATAAACCATGCATATAATGGTTTATGTAGCTTTTAGATTGCCCCCAAGATTTTTCAGTATTATTAGTCAATAAATCTGAAAGGAATTATCAGAAATGATTGAAAATTAATCGACTTCTTCATCCCCTGAAAGGAATTATCAGAAATGATTGAAAATCAATGGACTTCTTCATCCCGTAAGGCAAGCGACAGTGGCACAGTGAATAAGACGCTGGCTTGCTAAACAGGGAGGTCTTGGGTTCGCACATGGTTTTTACCAAGAAAGTTCCTCAGAAGTCCTGGCAATGAGAGTGCCTGGTCTTCATATTTTACAGAAAATCAAGGTTCAGGCAAAATTTTCCTCATAGCACACTGTACGACGTATGCTACCTTCATTAGCCCTGTCCTGGTAGGACATTAAATCCCATTTCATTGTATCTCACTAAAACAAACAATACAGCAATTTGAAGTCAATCAGATTATAACCTTAGCCTCTATATGTAACCAGCAATAATTGTGAATAACAGACAATAATATACAAACATATTTAAATGAGAGGATTATCTTACCACCTCAAATGGGAAAGAACATTTTATGATTGGATAAGTATATATCTAATGAAAAAATGATACATGAATAAAATAAAAAAATATTCGTACTGGATTAAAGAGAATAATTTGGAAGAGTTCACCGCCTTTAATACTATCATCTAGATGTTTACGGCCACCAGGGTAATCACTCAGAAAGAGAGTATGAGTATATAATCCACACGTTTGTCTGGGTAAAACCTGAAATATAGTGAAACTTATTTGTACAAGATGCAGAATATCTAAAGTAAAAAAACAGAAAACAAACATAATCTAATTTTATATGACAAATATAAACTGACATTAATTACATTTGAGAAAAGGTAATCTAACTAAAAAATTCAAGTTATATTATTATGTACATTTTCCATGCCAAAAAAATAAGATGAAAATGATGTTACATGTACAAATACAAACATAATCTAATTGAAGATTTTTTTTACGAAAAGGTAATTTAACTAAAAAATTGAATTAAAAAGACTGTATCCATTATTCATGCAGAAAAGTAAAATGAAAATGATGTTACATATAAATAAAGCCAAAATGAGTTGATGTAATGACAGATATTTACATCCTTTTATAATAATTTACTGTTTTTCTTTGTGTATAATCCGTGAATTCTGTATTATAGCATGTTGGAATTTCTAAAGTAAATGAGGGTGTGAAACCGACATAAATCTGTACTACATGTATGCAAATGTTGAAATCCATTGTGTACATACACAGTCTGTATAACCCTGTGTAATGACACGAAGATTCCATGCTATATCTATCCCAGACATCAACAGTATGTTTAGGGTGGTATACTAAAAACATGGGCGTAGAAAAACACTGTCTTTATTTTTATTATGTAATACGTACCATGACACCTTTATATATAAAACCTCTTCTCCTCCAGGCAGGGTGAAGTCTGGGATATTCTTCTGTACTGGTGACCTTCACATCCCAAACATTTCTCCATGCTGTGTATAATGGTTCATGTATGGGATAAACACCAGAATGATGGGGGGCTACAGCATAGTTCTGTTTTACTGGGATGTTGTTTTCCTAATACACAGAAATAAAAGTAACAAAATTGTAAATTTTCTACTATATATGTTTGGTTTATTTCAATATAACACATTGTATCTTTGGTTTGTTTTAATTAGAACATTGGATGAAATTGAAATATGAAAGATTGTTTGCCAGGCATCAAAACATATGTCCACCTACTTTGTTTATTATGAGCCTAGAGTTACTTGCTCTGTGTTAACTCCAAAATAATACAAAGTATTGTACACAAGCCAACAGTGAGGCTGATGTCCCCTGCCAAAATCCCAAAATAAATAGATGACACACATTAATTAATCGCACATTTTGTTTTTTTCAAAACTATCAAGCAATCAAACTATACACTAAGTTTCATCACTCTCTATCAGATAGAATCAAGATTATCTTGTCCCAAAGCATGGATCAATGAAATTGATTAGCTCTGCTTAGCTGTGTCCGTTTGAAGCTGCACAAGTCAGGAAAGTAAGTTTTGAGAAAAAGCAAGTTAAAGATGTTGGTATGTTCCAATACAAAATCACATAGCAACCAGGCAATTTATTTACTATTTTGTCGTTCAATAAAAACATTTCCAATGACAGTGTTACAATTTAGAACAAATGAGAATACTCCATAGTTTAGTAATCCATGTTTTGAATATTATAACTTTTATGAGAATAACTTCTGTTAATCTCATCAATTAATTAGCACCTTTAGTGGTCAAGACATTAAAATTGTTTATTGGGTAATCAAGTTTAGTTTATTGGGTACCAAGTTTAATTTCTTGACCATCAAAGAAGCCACCACACCTACATGTATACGTGTGTTCTGTTACATGTATCTTTGTCACACAACTGAACTAAACTAAGGTTTTGTGTGTACATGTTATTTACAGGTAAGGGTATCAGAATCTGAATCACTGATAGAATGATAAAATTGTAATTTCATTTGTAAGAGATGCTGTTCACTTTAGGACCTTTTGGTATAGTGAAACAAACAGGAAAATTTTCTCACTCAAGATTCGTCGCTTTTCGACTCATTCTTTGTTCTAATGTTTCCGAACCTGCTTGCTGATAATGAAATTTGGAACAATAATATCCAATTAGGCATGCTAATATCCAATTAGGCATTCGGACTCATTTAGCAAGCATGGGTCACATATATCAATTTCAAAACAATCACATGATATATGTAGTTTGTAGAGTGTTCACAAGAAATTGTGGACGACAGACGACAGACCGAGACGGATGTACATACTGATGAGGGCGACGGCAACATACAACCACATTTCCATGTGGGCATAAAAAATATATATTTGTTTATAAAGTAAATAATAAGAGACTAATTAACCAGTGAAAAAAAAAAAATCCAAATAGATAAATAAATTATCTAAAGTCAAAGTTCATATGTGAGGTCAAACATTAATTTACATTAAGTTCAAGCCATCTAGATTCATTATCTACTAATACTGTATCAAATGAACTGATGTAGCTCAAATGAATCATAGAATTACTAGAAATTTAATACAACCAACCACATTTCAATCAAAATAATCACATGCATCGACAGTATTACATCTCTTTAAGACTACTGTCAAGAATCACCGCGGAAGCATTTAATAAAATATCTTTCAATAAATCTGACTTGTAGAGTTAGATATGGATTGGAGGACAACAGTATACTATTACATTAACATGTGGGAGTATATAAACATTTAATTACAACCCCTCTATTTTTAAAAAAAATGTAAGTTAAGGTCAATTTATTTTATTAGGGTAAATAAATTTTACATCAAAGGCGAAAAAGATAATCCCATTTAAATTTTTACACAGGAAATATGATATTACGACCTACATTTAAAGGTCACTATGGCTCTATAAAGTGAACTCATAATGTCCTAGGAGTGGTTTATTTTCTTTTGATCAAGACGGTTATGAATAACATTCTTATTACATGTATTTCCTTTTACAACAAGTTTTAAATTTATGCATACTTAAGTCATAATGAATGTATGGATTCATTAATTTTACTAAGTGGTAACTGCACTTAATGTCTAATTGTCAACACCTTACTAAATATAGATCAATTTATATATTCTATGGTGGACTGCGATGAAAATGAGAATTTTATAAAAACACATTTGTTTCTGCCATATTTAATTAGCTGTCAAGTTCTCTGTTTTTCGCCTCCAATACAAAGAATCAGACACATATTATTTGTCATCCCACTAGAAAAATGTCAAGCATCAAGTCTTTAAATGCATGACTACAACAGTCTATTACTACAGTAATTTTAATAAAGCTATATATTACCTTAGCAAACTGTGAATTTTGCTGCATGGCAAGTGTGATGTATGGTTCATCAAATTTATGAGCCTGCTCATGTCTCCACATGTGGCCAAACCACCAAAATTTATCTCGATATTCTGAAAAGAAAGTTCATTATTTGCAAAATCATTTAATCATGCCAGTATAGATATAAGTATCTATATGCAATATTTTCAGAGAGAGAGAGAGAGAGAGAGAGAGACGAATGGGGTTTAAGTCCCCTAGACACAAACTAGGTATATCCGGAGAAAACCCATGAGGTTGAACAGGCGACCCTACACCGTGTCACATTCAAGCAAGGAATCGAAACTACACCACCTGACTCAATGACAGACCTTGTAATTTCATGCACATGTGTTAAACCACTATAGACCACCCAAACCCCCTAATATTCTAGGTTGCACTTAAATAAATAACACTTAGATACATGTAGCTAGACTTACTTAATAGCAGTTGTGTCAAATGTTATGGCAAGTTTCATTGGGACAAAACAGTTTGTTTAAAAGGTATATTTTACCAGCAGTACCCGGTACTAAATTCTGGAGCCAAAACTCAGCAATGTAGAAATTTTAAATACATATCTGAACTCTTTTTGAATAAGCTTGGTTCTGGTAAACAATACTGATTCAGATTGTAAATACTGAAATTTCAGTGTTGGAATTGTCTTTAGAAAACCGGCAAATCCTATCTATGAGAATAGGAGAACATATTTTAGGGTCTCAGATTTTGGCTAAAAGAAATAGGGTTGTCAGGTATTTGTAAACACAGGTATACCAACACTGCATTCCATGGTTTTGATGATAGAAGTTTGATTGGCTGTACAGTCAAGGTCAAATCTATAATTATGCTGTGCCACGGACGTAGAAATATTTAGATATTAAAGTAGAGACTAACCTACAATGCGTTGTTTATGATATCTAAATATTATCAGGTTTTTTTTATATTTTACTAAGTTAACTGTTTTTATCTGTAGCCTACTTTGATAAATAAATACATGTATACTGGTGTAAAGTAATCTGAACATATTCAAACTACTTAAAATCAAATCAAATATAATACTCAACATCCGAGTGGTTTGATGTCTACTTCTACAATAGTGATATCACAGACAAGGACAGACAGATGAACCGATTTTAAAAGTCCTCTGCTCTATTTGATAAGAGGTGGACAAATTAATGAAAAGGGGGGATGTGTTGTGTGGGTGTGTGTGTTGCAGGGTGGGGGTTGAAACTGCAAAAAATACAAGCTGCTTGCAGTTTTAGATAAAAATATGATAATGATACAATTTGTTACAACAATAACAACCACAGAATTTCCTATAAGTGTAGTCTACTTATCATCATATAATAACTTTAAGATCACTCATCTTTTGTCTATTTTACTCAAATACATAAGATATGCAATAAGACAATCCACATGCTTGTATTCTAAGTACTGTACATACATGTAAGGGGAAAAAGGCCTGTGATCTTTGATGTTGAAAAATTCAGACTTCATTTCACTTCATCAGAAACTGACATTGGTATAATCCTATTACCGGTAATAGCAAAATCTTAAAATACAATTCTTGAGTTTATAATGTACACATAAGCTAATGTGTTTTTTGATTTGATGATTGGCAGATTTTTACACAACATGGTGTATTTTAGAGTGTGGACACTTAAATGACATACAGTATTCAATAGTTTTTCATAAATTTGATCTCATTCATTTTTGGGATGTCACAATTCAGATTAAGTTACTTTCAGATCTGCCAATCAATAACAGCTCAAACAAGAATATCCCACGCTCTTGTGTATGAAAAACTATGTCAAATTTATTTCTATGGAAAGACAAATATTAAATCCAAGAAATTTCTACTTTGATATTCTTAAAGATATCTTGAATAGTTTATTAGATATCTTTTGGAAACAAAACTAGGACATCCAGAGAGAGAGAGAGAGAGAGAGAGAGAGAGAATTGAACATTCACTTAACACCTTCCAGGTCATTTCTGGAATAAGATATGGTACAATCTTATTTCAATAATTTGATTGCATGTAGGAGTCTTTAGCAGTGGCAGTAAACAGGAAACCTGGAGAAAATCCAAAAGATTGCAAAGGTGCTGCTACTCCTCGTCATGTACATGTACAGGATTTGGATCGAAACCATACCACTTGACTCAATGACAGACCTTAAGATCTAAAGTGCACACATTAGACCACTCAGCCCTGCTTCCCAAGATGGACAGAGCCATGGGATAACAACGTATATTGCATATAAAATTCTGATCATGAAAATAGTATCTGAGTTGGGAGTCTTGGTGGCCAAGTGAGTAAGACTTTGGCTCGCTAACCTGGAGGTCCTATGTTTGATCCCTGCATTGGCCAAGAAAGTTCATCGAGATTTTTTGGCATGGTTCCCCCTTGTCAGTGATGCAGGATAGAGGGCCTTGCAAGGGACAACATAATATAGTTGTTTTGATGGGACGAAAAAAACTGAGATCCTGTTTACACATTGGCGTGCACGTAAAAGATCCCTTGGCAATTTGAATTTCATATAAGAGTAGTCCCTCGTAGCACACTGTATGGCATATGCCTGTCTTCATTAGCCCACAATGGGAGCAGCACAGTAGGACGTTAAACCCCATTTCATTTAATTTCATTTTATTTCAGTATCTTACCGACAAGTTAATCAATAATAATTGTATATCTATAAATACTTTATACTAAAATATATGGATCAGAAAGAGAAATTTACATGGAAGATACAGGAAAATTACATGTACATGGTATGAGGATGGTTTGTTAATCATTCTAAGCTTGTATAATCGAACTCTAGTATACATGTACATGTACTTGTCAATGTAATTGAGTTTAGAATCATTAAGTCCTTTAATCAAAAACATATTGTGTATAGATTTTTCACCCAAAAGCTAACATATTTTGGTTTTATGTAATATTATTGTGAATAAGTCTTATCAGGAATACCAACATTTCTAGTTCTATTCTGATATATTAATCATTTTAACTCTCGTAAATGTCATTAATACCACCTAACCTAAAGTATATAATTTTCTCCTGCGAATTAACTCAAACTAATTGAATAAATCAGTCCGGGCAAAATAATAATTTTTGCATGATATTTTGATTAGATTATTCTGGATGGGAAAAAAAATCAATCAAGAAACTGTCAGGAATTTATTCCCTAAAGATATCTAACATGAATTTCATCTTTTATATATCTGAAAAAGAATTTTCAGAAAACAAATTCAAAACTAGAACTGCTTCGGTACGTCAGGTCACGCCTTGTCACGCATCAATCAAGTTACACCATGAATTATTGAGTATAGTTGCTTCCAATACCTATTAAAGTGGAAAAACCTGTCATTTTGAACTCTTACTAAAACCGCATAAGACCAAACTTTTTGACATTAACTGTTAGTTGATATCAGGGTCACCATATGATATGTACAAAGGTCAATTGAAAGGTTAGGTCACCAGATAGAAGGTCAAAAGTCAAACAAAATTCAAAGTGAAACTGGAAGTAAATGAAATTGAATTTAAAAAATCAGCTCCAAGAATTGTTGCCATTTGGAGTAGGTTCAAAACCCCAAAAAGTTTTCGAAAATCGAAATCAAAATGGTGGCTGAGTATCAGTTTGAAGATTTTTGTCAAATCCAAAATGGCGGCCAAACGGTTGAAAATGTTATGGAACAAGGTCTCTGAAAGAAAATGAAAGCTAATACATGTACATGTATGTGGGGCTAACACCACCATATGTCAGTTTTTGGTATATCTTTAAAATGAGAGAACTATTCATGCTCAGGAAAAATTGGAAGGCCTCAGTAATTTCCAGAATTTTCCGGAAGCCGTCACAAATTTTTGGTACCTCAAAATAGTGACGGAGATACGTCATCTTCAATCCCCCCCTCTAAAACAATAAATAAAAAAAACACTCGACCGAAAACAGTTAAACATGAGGAGCTTTTTTCTATATACAATATTTCATCTTATGCTAGCTAAGGCTTTTGCAGTGTATTACGAAAAAAGTGCTTCAGACATTTTATTAATATTCATATTTTCTCCATATCATTCATGAAGTAAAGTCAATTTATGAGCAGAAGCAGCTGCACATATCAAAATTAATGAACCAGTACTTTCTACATAAAATTTTTATTTTACCTAGTAACTTTTTATCGCCTGCATCCTCTTCATATGAACCATGCAAATAATATCGTCCAGAAAATCCTAGATTAAAACTGAAGCCTGAAACCATTTGTTTAATCGTTTCCTGCGTAGTAACCAGTGCCTAATATTTAAAAAAACAAAAAAAATCACATGCACTGTATATAAATGATCATGAAATAAAATAATATTTTTTTATCAACATAGATTAAGAGCCAGTTTTTATAAGATTCGTGAAATATGACGCCTCCAGATTAGTCTGAAAATTTTAATGGTGGTAGTCTCATAAAAATCACATTTCCAACCATCAACATGTACATAGTCTGCCTTTTTCTAAAGAACTGGTGGAAAAAGCATGTTTGAAACTGGCCAAATTGGAAAATACTAAGAGACTACTGTATTTCAATATCTCTCCCAAAACTTTGTACATCATGGGATAATAAAGTAACTTGCACATCACAGATGGGATTTTTGCATCAAAACTGTGAAAATTCCTCTTTTTGACCAAGTGATATTTTCTGCATCAGAAGTTGTATCTTGTGAAATCAATTACCGTAATCTATATCTCTTGTTAATTAAAAGTGTTAAAGATAGGTTGCCAGGCAACGAAACATACGCCCACAGCAACTAAATCGTCTGGGCAGTCAACAAGGGTTGTCGCATATTTTTACTTTTTTCGGTAATGAAACATTTATAATACACTAAAATCTGATTAAAGCAACAACTCACGAAGTAATTATCAGAAAACTATTAGAATTTGTTTGGTTTTTATAAAGTTCTGCCCCATTCTAACGTTTTGTATGCAAAGCTTTTAATATCATGGATTTAACTGTTCAAGTCATAAAAATTCATTGAAAATCTCAAGATCTTAAACTCTGTGTATCAATCTGAAGTCAATCGGATGATAACTTTAGCCTTTAGAGCGTCACAAGATTTTGCAAAGTGATCAAGGGCCATAACTTTGGCAGTAATTATAGGAAATCATTGAAAATCAATAGGAATCTTCGTCTCATGACCTCAAACACTGCGTATAAATTTAATGTCAATCGGATATTAACTTTAGCCTCTAGAGCATCCACAAGATTTTTTGAAGTGATCAAGGGCCATAACTATGGCAATAATAATCAGAAATCGCTGAAAACCAATAGGCTTCATCATCTTATGACCTTAAACACTGTGTATAAATTTAATGTCAATCAGATATTAACTTTAGCCTCTAGAGCATCCACAAGATTTTTTGAAGTGATCAAGGGCCATAACTCTGGCAGAAATTATCGGAAATCGTTGAAAATCAATAGGCTTCATCATCTTATGACCTTAAACACTGTGTATAAATTTAATGTCAATCGGATATTAACTTTAGCCTCTAGAGCATCCATAAGATTTTTTGAAGTTATCAAGGGCCATAACTCTGGCAGTAATTATCGGAAATCATTGAAAATCAATAGGTTTCTTCTTCTTATGACCTTAAACATTGTGTATAAATTTAAAGTCAATCAGATATTAACTTTGGCTTCTAGAGCACCCACAAGATTTTTTGAAGTGATCAAGGGCCATAACTCTGGCAATAATAATCAGAAATCGCTGAAAACCAATAGACTTCATCATCTTATGACCTAAAACACTGTGTAGCAATTTAATGTCAATCGGATATTAACTTTAGCCTCTAGAGCATCCACAAGATTTTTTGAAGTGATCATGGGCCATAACTCTGGCAGTAATTATCGGAAATCGTTGAAAATCAATAGGTTTCTTCGTCTCATGACCTTAAACACTGTGTATAAATTTAAAGTCAATCGGATATTAACTTTGGCCTTTAGAGTATCCACAAGATTTTTTGAAGTGATCAAGGGCCATAACTCTGGCAGTAATTATCGGAAATCGCTGAAAATCAATAGGCTTTTCTGTCTCATGACCTTAAACACTGTGTATAAATTTAAAGTCAATCGGATATTAACTTTGGCCTTTAAGAGCGTCCACAAGATTTTTTGAAGTGATCAAGGGCCATAACTCTGGCAATAATAATCAGAAATCGCTGAAAACCAATAGACTTCATCATCTTATGACCTAAAACACTGTGTAGCAATTTAATGTCAATCGGATATTAACTTTGGCCTCTAGAGCGTCCACAAGATTTTTCAAAGTGATCAAGGTGCATAACTCTGGCAGTAATTATTGGAAATCGTTGAAAATCAATAGGCTTCTTCGTCTCAAGACCTTAAACACTGTGTATAAATTTAAAGTCAATCAGATATTAACTTTAGCCTCTAGAGCGTCCACCCGGACCGACGGCCGGCCGGACGGGGGCGACGACAATATACGACCACATTTCAATGTGGGCGTATAAAAAGTATGTTGTGGACTTTTGCTGCTTTAACCCTTTTCTCAACATTTTTTGTTGACCAATATGAGATGAGGTGGAAAAATAGTCAATTGTGAAACAACCACAATCTTGACGAAATTTGCAGATTTTGCTATACTGTAGGATGTGCCTGTATACACAGCAACACAATACCTGTGTAATATAGACAGTCTTACATGTATAACATTCATTTAATAAATCATTATTTCCTTTCTACACAAACGCCAAAGATAGGTTGCCAGGTAACAAAACATACGCCCACAGCAGCTAAGTCGTCTGGACAGTCAACAAGTGATGTGGCATATTTTTTCTTTTCTCAGCAATGAGAACGTTTACAACACATGAAAATCTGATTATGAGTAATAACCCATGAAGTAATTATCAGAAAACATTAGAATTTGTTTCAATTAATGTCTCATAACCGTAAACAAATATTATTACATTTAGCCTCTAGAGCCTCCACAAGATTTTTCAATGTGATCAAGGGCAATAACTCTAGCAGTAATTATCAGAAACGGTTGAAAATGAATAGGATTCTTTGTCTCATGACCTTAAACCCTGTGTATAAGTTTAAAGTCAATCAGATATTAAAATTAACTTTAGCCTCAAGAGCTTCTGCAAGATCTTTCAAAGAGGTCAAGGGCTATAACATACGTAGGCAGTAAATGAATACGTTGAAAATGAATAGGATTCTTTGTCTTATGACCTTAAACCCGGTGTATAAGTTTAAAGTCAATCAGATATTAACATTAACTTTAGCCTCAAGAGCTTCTGCAAGATTTTTCAAAGAGGTCAAGGGCTATAACATACGTAGGCAGTAATTATCGAAAATAGTTGAAAATCAATTGGCGTCTTCGTCTCATTTCAATGTGGGTGTATAAAAAGTATATGACAAAATAGATTCTTGGGAGCATAAATAAGAGGTTAATAATTACATGTAGAACATTTTATATGCATTTAATTAGTTCAAAAGATCATTTGCTGTTGTTAAAATATTCCCCTATCCTTGTATCTATAAATGTGTGTCGGCCACATTAGGGTCAGCGGTCTAGTAAATTATATGTAAGTAATAGGTCATCTTAATTGTACATGTAGGAGGTAGGAGATTATAGACATGGACAATAATGTTCACTATGTCGAATGATATTGGTGGGATGTAGATAATTTATGACAAAAATATTCTGTGTATTAATTATTATACTAACCTCCACATCGTCTACACACATCCGTATTCCTTCACGACCCACAAATATATCATCAATGTCTATCTGTATATGTCTTTCTAATGGCATACTTAACTTTCCATTTGAAAGAATCGACAAACTATCCAATAAAATAAGTCTATGAAGCCAGAATCTAAGGGCGCTACCAAAAATAATCCTTTTAATTTTATCATATTTTCCATGGTCATAAATCACTGGCACAACAGGTTTATTTACATCTTCTTCGATACTCACACTAAATTTTTGCGTTTGCTTCTTAGAATAAGCTAAAGGTTCATAAGTTGAATGATTTGTATGAAACACTGTCCACTCTCCAGGTAGACGGCCTTCGTAAATCTGTCCTGCCTTTGTTACACGCCAGACATCTGAGAACATGTTTAGCTTATAATCTTGAAGTTTCATACCATATTCAAACACCATTCGAAATCCAGGGACATTATCACTAATTATGTCTGGTTTAGATGGAACGAAACCTATTATACCCACATTATATTCTGAACAATATTTATCTAACAACTGCCGATTCCATTTGTCCATAGTGATGTACTTGTTATAATTCTCGAAAATTACAACAGAAAACTTGCCTTTATCAAGGTGCGTCAAAGTTGGTAAATTCTTTCCTGTAGGTTCTACTTTATATTCTACGCGAATGGCTTCCAAAAGATGTGTTATTTTGGTACCAGCTTTAGAATACTGCGATTCCACCATAACTAAAACTCTATCACCAAGATGTCGTCCTGCTTTAGATTGATGATTCACACGTTTAAGGAGGCTTCGAGAAATGGTGGAATTTAATCTGCATGTTGACAGGGGCAATGGCGGTTTGCTTCGCTGCCTTGCAATTCCAAATCGCAAATTGAGAAAACTGATCGACACAATGGTAGAAATGACACTGAGTAAAATGACAATCAGTAACACTTTGGTTAACGTAAATCTCTTCAGACAAAAACATCTTGCACAAATGTTACTAAGAACGATAAAACTGCTCCGCCAAAACATCACAAGCTAATCGTAACGTCTACCTCATATGATAAAAAAAAATCAAAATAAGGTTCAAGTCCCATCTAGAAAAGTTGACGTTAAAAAACTCATAGGAGCCATACTGATATAATACAATGGAGTAGATTTGATTGATTCACTCCAATGTTTAGAAATCTAAGTGCTTGTTCGTCTGTGATCTCCATAATGGAATACATCTAGTGACCGTCTGTTTGCCTACATCATCTGGTTTACACCATCATATTACATCTCTAGAGCATCACACATCTTCTCTTACTGAAGACAAAAAATGTTAAATATTTATTCATGATAGATTATTTTTCCACAGAGATTATGAAATGTATGGTAAAGCTAAAACAATTATCAACGTTTGGAACACAATCAACCTGTCTTAACGCTTGTCATTGTTTATCATATGTAATATACATTTAAATATGTAGATTATGAAATATATGATAAAGCTAAAACAGTTTCTTTCCATTGGAACTGTTGGTCTTCACGATTAGAAAATATAATTATAATGAGATTGCATTTACATGTAGTATTGAGCAAGAAATGCCGATGGATGAACAGACAGAGGTGATGACAATTTATATTTCCTACTAAAAATAAAGCTACAATAATTATTAACTTGTTTCCCCATGGAACACGATCAAAATCGTCTTCATGATTTTAAAATATGATTATATATTATATTGAAAGTTCATTCAATATATACTTCCGAATAAAAATACATGAATACACAAGTAACAAGTAGGTGGGGTTGAGAATATTTTTTGTGAAAAAATAATAGTCATATCCTACCATATAATGTTAATGTCTGTATCCTTGTATGATATTAATTGTCTAGAGGAAGCAAATCTAACTACTTGTAACAAATATTTTGTGGATATCATTCCTGTTACAGGTCAAACATTACCACACACATTAATAATTTCTTTCTATCACCACTCTATATAATCTACATAAAATTAATTTATTCATATGAAAAGCTATAAATATTGAATAATTAAGATAATACTCAAATTACTACACCATGTGCTTGTTCGGATAACAAAACTACATAAAAATTATTTTAATTTTACATAAATTACATGAAATAAATACTTTGTCAGGCAAGGTACATGCATACATTCCTGTGACGGTTTTGTTTCATAAATTCATGATATGGACAACAGAATAATCCTAGAAAACTCTGGTCTTTAAATTATACAAATTTGAATAATTGTATCCTTTTGACTTTTGGATCCTTTCTAGATTTTGTCATGCTGATATTTTCAAAGATTTGGAGCCATCACAATAAATGTTGCTGTAGGGTCATCAATATAACAGCAGTGCTAAGAATCATATATTCCAACTTTTACTCCACAAGCTTTTAATATTTTATATGGTTTGTTGTCTAACAGTTTTGTCTTAAATTTCCAGTGAATGGGATCAATAGGATACATGGATATAAGTTAATTCACTGACAATCCTTATCTTTTGTCTAAATAGTTTCAGTTTAGTAAATCCTGTGTAGGTTTTGTCTGATTCCATTTCATCAAGTTAAACAAGTAAGTGATTTAAACGTGTATATTATATTTCGTAATTTCAAGGACATTGAATACATTCTAATATACTATGAATTTCATTTTAATCAAGAAATAATCAAGCATATAGACCCAGATGTTTAATATATCCATCTTCGTAAACTTTAATTCCTTGACACCATGTGACAAGAAGAAGGGGGTTACCACAAAAAATGTAAAAATAAAAGAGTAAAAACAGACAATGAACATATTGCTTTCCTGATTTAAAAAACCTGAAGAAAAATAAGTGATTACCAGTACATGTAAACTCTTTACAAAGACATCATAAACTAAAACTGACAAATGCAGATGAAAACTTCTTTAGTTTTAAAAATGTCTGTTATTAAATTATGTAGAGCTTACCTAGATACAATGTCCACATGTCATACAAATCAGAACCGAAAATTGGTAAACATTATTACACTATAACATAACAAGACTATTGAGTCTAGCAAGCCTATTGGTGTCAGAGTCCGACATAATATAAACGATTTTGCAATACCTGCATGTCTGGTCTTGACAGATGATCTGGATTATAAAGTCTACATAATCTCTGCAATACTGTGCATTTAATGATTTTGGATCTATAAGATATTTCTAACAATTATTTGGAGAGCAATAAGCAAATTTTATGAAAAAACTAAGTAAAATTTGTTTCCAAAAACTAAGTACAATTTATTTCCAAAAACTAAGTACAATTTATTTCCAAAAACTAATTAAAATTTGTTTCCAAAAGCATTTTCCAAAAACTAAGCAAAATTTGTTTCCAAAAGCTCAGTCAAATTTGTTTACAAAACATTATGTCAAATTTTATTTTGGTGGAAACACAAAAATGATCAAATTCAGGAAATTTCTAATTAGCAAAAGGCACAACTGCTACAAAGTTTCATAAAGATACATAAAAGGTTTGGAAAGGACAAACCGACAGTGTCCATTTTAATGTCCCTCCCTAACTTCATGCGGGATAATAAATGAATGAGATAAAATCCAGTGAAAAGAGCAAATGTTTCCACATGAGTTAATATACTGGATTTAGCTGTGGGCAACTTGCTTTTGCAAAAAATAAAGTATAACATGAATGTAACGGGATCTAAGATTCATCACTATTTCATGTAGGCGTATCACTCCAAGCGATATCCCAAAAGACCATGCTAAACACATGTTTTTTACATCCAACATTCCAAAATGATTTCAGTTCAACAAAGAAAAATAATGGAGAACTTATAAAATAAAATCCCTTTTGCAATGTCATAATGAACCCAAATTCCTGATATTTATAGAATAAGCATACTTTCTGTCGAAGACACAACTTATCAGAACAAAGTCAAATGTGTAATGGTCTAAAAATTAAAATGATCAATAATGGCCATTCGCTTTCCTTGATAAGTACATTATTAAAGTGAGCTCTATAGGTTCAAGAATAAATACGGTGCTGGTTGATCACTAACCAGGATGTACCGGCTTTGATCCCTGTTTTGGTCAAGACAGTTACCCTGGATTTTCCAGTCTGGTTTCCCTTTTGTCTGTATTGCAGTACAGGGGGTGGGGGGCTGTCAAGGAAAGGAGCCTTTTATTTGGATGGGATAAATAATGAGGTCCCATGTTCAAGACCCTTTCACAGTTCAAAAATGAAATAACTGTTTGTGGTCTGTAACACTGGTCAGGGAAAATTTCATTTACACCAAACATTTTCCTAGCTTCATTAGCCTGGATAGTGTAGAAAAGTAATTTTCATATATTAAAATAAATCAAAGTGCAGTTTTTTTTTCTCAAATCCATGAAAATAAACATAAGTCATTCATATATGTACATGTACATGCCAATGTACACTACTATCTCTTAATAAAATTTAAGCAGGTTTTATAAGAGAAGTTCTATGGTTGACAATCGTACAAATTGTGTGAAATCTCTGAAGTTCATTTGCCTTTTCTATGGCTATTTGAACTTTGAAGGTTGTCAAAATGGAAGAATCAGAATGATATGTTGATATGTATTTCTTATCCCATAACCTTTTATTTAAACTATAAACTCTTGAAAGATAGTTATTTCTATCAAAGGTATTGTTTAATTATAAAAACATGGGCAAAGCTTCTTCTATCAAAAAAATCAGGAAAAGCTTAAAATAGACCATTCAACCAACATTTACTGATTTGCAGTAAAATACATGTACATTAAAGATACATTATGTAAGATTTAAATAAAGAGCTATCCATTCTTGCTATAATAGTTCGAAAATAGATAATGTAAAACGAATAATATGAAAATTTTATTCAAATTACTCTAGCCTTTGAAGGTTTGACAAGATGTGTGCAATAATTTCAACCACCGTACTGGTTGTTCGAAGCTAAGTCTCACTCCTCCATTTTTAGCTTAAAACAAAATATGGCTGAACTGTTCTAATCTATTTAATATCGGAGAAATCTGATGCTATCGAGAGTTGATTATGGCCTGGATAAGTTAATTAATGTCTAATTAATAATTTAGAAAACATTCCAGGCCTAAATAAAGACCTGCAATAAGCAGATTTAGCTCTTGCATAATGTATGTTTAAGTGTATTGTCTTGAGTATTAGAATCTCATTTATTCCAAATACAAAAGATTGAAAATTATTGCATTAGCTATGATCAGTTCATTATTTTGTTTGCATTTTTTATTATGTAACCATAGCTATAAATTACTTTTACCTATGAAATGAAAATGTCATTCTGTGAAAAATAGTGCAGGACAACAATAAGGATTCTTGAAAAAAACAAAAGTAATATGAAAATTATAGCTGGTTAAAAAATATCATGAAATATAGCAATAATTCTTTCCGCCATTTCTATACTATGTATTGAAAAATGTACATCAATGTGTTTGCACAAATATACACATAATGGTCTATGAATGTCATAAAATAATTGATCTTACATGTACAAAGAATTACCAAATGTCTCCAAAAAAATGTTGTTTTCTATTTTAAGAAATTATCAATCTGGATCTTTAGAGAATTTGAAGAAATCAGCCCAAGGCTCTCATTATGCTGTCTTCAAAAGAACTGATAACACTGCTTTTACCATGTTTTAATACAAGAGGTGAGACGAAGCAGGAAATATAAGAATGGGTAATTTAAAGGAGCTAAATCGCTAACATTTGGGACCTAGAAATTGACAAAAGTGGTTCGCAACGCATATAATACTGTAATATGAATGTATATAAACTAATTTACATTCAATGGATTCCGCTTTTACTCCAATTTCAAATCAGTTATGTTCGGCGAAATTAGCCAGCAGTCTCAATCGAGTGCAAATTTCTAGCATCTGGTTATTCCAGTCTACATACGCCGTTCAATTTGGTGCAATGTGTCTAGCCTCGTCCCTCGAGTCTCTTTTTACAACTGGAGCTGAAGCGCATTATGGTACACGATTCGTGTACCAATGGTAAAATGTTTATATTGTCTTAAATATTGGATATCAAAAGCCCATCTTATTCCGGTAAGATCACAACATCAATGTTGATTTAATTTGACAAATAAATCGTGTTTTCAATGTTGAAGATTTTGGATGATATTGAGTTAGAGACTTAGCTACTTTAAGTTATTACCATGGCTATTTTATGGTATCCAGAGGATGCATTTTTCAATATCATTTACATGTATACCATATATTTGAATGGGCAATATCACTACATGTTGTCTAGTGCAAGTGCATTATTGAATATCAGTTTCAT